TGCCAAAAGGTCCTGAGTGCATATGCCCAACGCTACTCTGATTAAAATCCCCAAAGGTAAATAGCAAAGATTCAAAGAATGATGTAGTCCCCATTCTTCCAAAGGTTTGAGGGAGATAAAATACAGTGGCCCCCTGCCTAACAGACCTCGCATGTAAGGGATTTTTGCCAAACAGACCAGCTCTGCAAGCAGTTTTTCCTCCCGCCCAACAGACAAAATCCACCAAACAGACTTCTTTTGGTTTAAAATTAGTGTTGAAAATTGAAATTTTCAATTTTTTATGTAATTGGATTCATGTAAAGGACTTTTTGTCGAACAGACTTGTCCCTTGCACAAATCAAGTCCGTTAGACAGGGTTTGACTGTACTCAGAATATGACTGGAATACCATTTGGTATAACTTAAAAAATATTGAATAGGGCCCTGGACCCAAATTACTCTTATTCAGAGGATTTTCTTGCTGTGCATCCATCTGGCCAGACAATTGAAAAGACATATGTCTCCCTTTTGGGAAACTGAATACTGTAAGATTATTTGGAGCTAGTCAGAATCCTCTTCAATCAATATGCTGATGCCTACAACTACAGGGAACCAAATTCATTGTGAGTTACAGCAGCTACCTCCACCAGATGCATCTTTCACGCCTTCCACCAAACAGACGAAAATACGGAAAGAGAAAAATAATATATCTAATACGAAATGTCAGGAAAAAAGAGAACTGGAGGAAAAATCCATTCTACTTCATACAATTTTCTGAAAAAAAAAATAGTGAAGGCATTGTTGACATCAGTGGTCAAGTATTATTTTTTTTTTAAACCTACCTGAGGTTTTCAAACAATTTGGGACACATGAAAATGGCTGGAAAAAAACATGAAAAAATTCAAGCCCAATTTAAACAATGTTTCCAGGTAATGATTTTTGAAAAGTCTTGTTGAAAATAAACTTTTTCTGAAGTCCCAAAAGCTTGCTGTAATAAGATTTTTACTGTACTGTATTGTTGTTGATTGTACACTCCAGTGCTTACATAAAGGTTTATGAGCATTGTGGATTTTACTGATTTACAAAAAGACTATTTTCATCTGAAGCAAGGCAGACTTTCTCCTCATTTCCTCATTGACCTTTGTGAAAAAGGAGACACACAGATTTAAGATCTTGAGGTAAAAAGGACAACCACATCTTTCATATTTTCTTCAGCCTCTTTGAGACAGTTGATTCATTCAACAGCATATGTCCATAAATTGTTGAAGTGGTTTTTTGCATCAAAAGGGAAATTTGTTCTTTGAAACAAAATCTCTGCATGATGGAAAAACATGGATGGTTCAATTGTAATCTTTTCCGAATTTCCTCTGTCAAAAATGCAACTTCTGATGTATTAATGTAGGATTCTAAATAATTTATTGAATTGCTTAACTCAATAAAGGCAAAATATGGTACAATATTCATGTTTTGAATGGAACTGTATAACATTCCTGGCATGTTGAAATTGAGTCCTGACTGTGGGCTATTCTCAGTTTGTAATGCTTTCATCAACAGAACCTTGTCATTATTGAAGGACAGTATTGAATGCTGTCTTCTTTCCAAGATTTAAAAAAAGTTGTAACTAACAAAAATCCTTGAGACCATGGCAACTTGTTTCTGCTGCTGTATATGTTTTCCTCTGCAAAACACAAGTATTTTTCACTGCAACTGAAATTTATTTGACTCAAGAATTGGACAAAATTGTTCTGGCTCAATAATAAGCAGGAACCTGATTCCCACAAGTAAGTTGGTTAAACTTCATTTTGGTATATAAGAATGAGTTGTTATTGTGGCTCGCCTCTTGACACGTAATCTCGCGATTCGGTTGATATCCCATTTTATTTTCGTTTCTAGCAAAAAAGAGAAGAAGAAACAAAAAAGGTTTTTAAAAAAATGAAAAACACGGGGGTATCAATCAATATTTTTCACAAGATGCGGAGGCCCCTCGAAGGGGAACCGGGGTTCTGACCTGGAACCTCAGCGGGGGGCGTCCAGTTTAACCCGCCACAAGGTTTACCCAGGAACCCGTGGGGGCCCACGGGGTGCAATCAACTGGATCCCCGGGGGGTCAATTTCCCGGCCCATTGCCGAAAAGGAGGAAGGAAAAGCAAACCGTTCCCGGGGAAATTTTCAACCAAAATTCAGGAAAAGGCCTTCAACCAAACCGACGAAAATACGGAGTGAGAAAAATAATGTACATCTATAACGAAATATGTCAGGAAAAAAAAAGAAAACTGGAGGAAAAATCCCTTCTACTTTATACAATTTTCTGAAAAACAAAATAGTGAACTCATTGTTGACATCAGTGGTCAAGTATTATTTTTTTTTAAACATATCTGAGGTCTTCAAACAATTTGGGACACATGAAAATGGCTGAAAAAGAAGAACCTGAAAAAATGCAAGCCCAATTTAAACAATGTTTCCAGGTAATGATTTTTGAAAAGTCTTGTTGGAAATAAACTTTTCTGAAGTCACAAAAGCTTGCTGTAATAAGATTTTTACTGTATTCTTGTTGATTGTACACAAAAAAAAAATTTTTGGAATGTAAAGAGTAACCTTTCAAATCCTTTGATGAAGTTCACTCAAATTTTCCCTCATTATTGAATTCAAACTGTTTCACTCCTGCTTATGAGAATTCCAAATGAACTCCACATTATTGGGATAAATTGTGCTTGTTAGCAGTTGAACAAAGATCCCAACCTCATTTTCCTTCTTTCCCACATAAATATAAATTCTACAATTTGAGTAACACACAATGCATATTCATGATTTTCATGTTGAAAGTCAGCAATTTTCAAAATCTAACATGCCATTATCTTATCAAGATATTTAGGAGGTTATTTCTCAAATTTTTAGTAACTGCTGTGGATTCCTTAGAAAATTTTTGAAGATTGTTGATGCTTTGCTGAAGTGTATGGGAATCTATGTACAATATCATCACTTTTTATTCATTTATTCTCAAAATTGGCCAGAGTGAGTTTAGCACTTCTTCATAAGAGACAAGACTGCCATATGGAATCAAAAAGATTTAAAACCTTGTCCCAGACTGAGGCATCAAAGCACAGTTTCTTGAGAAAAAAAAGAATGATTCTTACAAATGATTTTTACAATTACAAATATCTGTGCATACATTCCATAAGTTGATAAAGCCTTTTATATTACTTGCCTTGGATGCATTCAATTTTTTTTATAGGAGCCTATTACTGATACAGAAATATAAGTGGGACTCTCAGTGCAACAATCTTCTTGACAACAATCTCCTGTTTATGAATGTTTTTCTATCCCATAGGGCTCTTATTTCCACATATTCCAGGGGATCTCTACAATGAGGTTCTCTGTATGATGAATTTTGCTTTCTGTTCCCTTGAATTTCATTGCAGAAAAATCCACCAGTACAGTACAGTCAACCCCTGCCTAATGGACCTCCTGCCTAAGGAATTTTTGCCTAACAGACTGCCTCTGGAGGCAGCTTTTCCTCCCACCCAATGGACAAAATCCATCTAACAGACTTCTGTTAGTTTAAAATTAATGGTAAAAAGTGAACGTTGTAATATTTAAAATTGCATTTTCATAACAGAGATTTCACACAACAGACTAGTCTGTATTAATCAAGTCTGTTGTGTGGGGGTTGACTATATTGGCAAAGACATAGGAGTATTCACTTTGCTCCAGCTGAATAGCTAAAGTAGAGTTGGTATCTTGCAATTTGACCACTCCTCAATTTGTCCATCCCACAATTCAATGGTCAAATTTGCTGGTAATTCAACTTGAAATTTGACCTCTGCCCTGAAATCCAACCAACTCAGAAATTCAAAACATCAAACACAGGTGAACCTTGATAACTCAAACCTTCAAAAGTCCAATACCCCCCTGAGTCAAATTTTTTTCGTGTCCCCATCTGAATCCCCTTAGAAATAATACATTAACAACCTTTATAAGTCAAAAGCTGTTCCCCTCGAACCTCCATAAGTCAAATTTTCTCTGGCCTGTTGGCTCTTATTTTCTTGATCCAAGAAAGGAAAAAGCAATAAAAACATAAATTCATGTGATTTTGAAGGAAGTGGAAGACTTAATTGGGTAAATGAACCCCTGATGCCTCCAAGTTCAGCAGCCTTTCAATTCATTTAAGAAACCATTTAAGCCCCAGAATATTTAAATTTACTCATTTTTAAGTTTCCCTGAGAAAGGGCTTTGCATTGTGGTTAAAACCAAGATAATTCAAAACCTCCCTAATTCAAAGCCACCATAAGTCAAATTTTTTCGCAGGTCGCTTGAAATTCAACTTGGAAAGGTTAGAGTACTGTACAAATTATGTAGAAAATATTGCAGTTGTCTTGCAATTTAAGTGCTTCAAAATTTGACCCTACTACAGCAACTAATTGGGGTTAATTGGGGCAACTAATCAAATGGCAGGGAACCATCTGTACAGTATTTGACAACAATGTGCTTTATATATGTATGAAAAGGAATGAAAAATCTGTCAAGAAAACCTCAATGCTGCATCAGAAAAATTGGCCCAGGATTTCAGATATGGAATTTTTGATTTCCAAGTTCCTTCATTCCAGCATCAAAGGCAATTTAGTTTTTACCCTTCTACAAAAATTGTAGATACTGTATATATATTATTTTGTTGGATAAATTTGAAAAAAAAAGATTATATTGTTTGGGAAATTGAAACCGGGTTCCTTTGACGTTGGCCTGTCAGAAACGAAAATTCGGGTTCAGTGTCGAGGCCGCGGGTCTCATTTTTCTCTTTCTGTCGTTTTTTTCTTCATCTCATCTCTTCTCAATTCCTTCGGAGAGAAGAAAAAAAAATTTAAAATTGAAATTTCTTCATTCTTTTTTCTCTTACATTTCTTTAGAAATGAAACCCGGGTCGGGATGAGGGATCAACAAAAAGAAAATAAAAGTAATGCACATGTGCAGAAAGAGAGAGAGAGAGAGAAAAAAATATGTAGTCAGTTGGAAGGGAACAAGAAAGACAGGAAGATGATTTTCGATTCCGGCGGCGGCGGCGGAGGCGGCAGCAGTGGCGGCTTTCCTTTCATTTCCGCGTCGCAATAACCCTTCGCAGCGTGGCGCCGCCGGATCCGCGTAACGACAGCAGCTCTCTCTCTCTCTCTCTCAATTTCAACCTGGGCAGTCCTTTTGAAAAAGAGGAACGAACAGATACGGAGCACACTATGATGAGGATGATGATGATGTGGTGGTGATGATGAGAACGGTTGGAAGAAGAAGAAGAAGAAGAAGAAATAAAAAGCAAGGAAGGCCCCCAGAACCCGAGAACCCAAGAGCCCGTTAATCATTCGGGTCGCCTGGGCCCTGATTTACATCCGTGTCGTTACGTTACCCAAACCAGAAAATGAGAGGGAGAGAAAAGATGAGGTGCCCTGCTGGGCTTTGTCAAACGCTTTTCCAACCTTTTTTTTAAACCGCTGGTGGCATTTTTATCCCTGGTATACATATTTTTTCTTCCCAATTCTGGAAAGTTGTATTTTGCTGTTCAAAATTTTCTGCGCATGATTCCATTTTCATCAAAAATGTTTCTCAGTTTGTACCTGATTTAAAAATACTGTATTTGAAGTACATTACCGTATTTACTCAAGTACCACGTGCCCTCAAGTAAGGCACACAGAGGGGTTTTTAAGTTGAAAATTTTGCAAAAATCTTATCCCCATGTAAGACGCGCACCCCAATTTTTAGTGAATCTAAAACCATAAAATTTCAAAAATAAAAACCAAAAATTTGACTTCAGGTGTGAATTGAACAAAAATCTGATCAATTTTCAACTTTTTTTTAAAAACAAAAATGTTTTCTTGTTACACTTGTTCCAAATTTCTCCATTATAATTGAGTATAATGCACACATAACTTCCTAAAAGTTCTTGAAAATTTTGTACCTGCTTATGACGCACACCCCTTCTTTTCTTTTGAAATTTGGGAAAAAGGTGTGCGTGGTACTTGAGTAATTATGTATTAAAAAAAGAATATTTGAATGTGTTCCCAAAGTTCACCGGCTTCCTAAAACATAAAATAGAAGAGAAAAAATTAAATTCAGAAAAAGTTTGATTAAAAAAACAAGCAGCAAGAATAATTCTCATTAAAGCAAATCTTGATAGAAGAATATCTTTTTCGAGGTTTTATGGAGTGAATCCACAATTTTACTTGGGTTTCTTCATAATTTTTTTTACAACAAAGGCTTTTTTATAGTCCCAATTGCTTTGCTGTATAGCTTGATAATTTATACATTTGAGTTCTGCCATAATTGCATAACTTTCTTTTTAGCTTTTTGTTATTGTTCCAAAGACTATTTGGATTTAAAAATGTTTTTACTCCAATGAATTTCCCAAGTTTGCTGGGTTTTGGAGTTTCAGGAAATTCAACCATGAATCAAATTGGGCCTGAATTACAGCCCCCCTGCACAATGGACTTAATTTGGGCAACAGTCTAGTTTGTTGTGTGAAAAGTCTGTTATGCAAATTCAATTATTAAAAAATTGAAAGCGTTACTTTTTACCATTAATTTTAAACCAACAGAAGTCTGTTATTCAGATTTTGTCTGTTGTGTGGGAGGGAAAACCACTTCCAGAGGCAGTTTGTTGTTCAAAAATCTGTTTTGCGGGTGTCAACCATTCAAAATGTTTTTGAATCATATTTGTCATATTGCTGCTCCTGTTGGTTATTTATTGGGCTTCCTCAGAATATTTGGAAATTTTTTGTCAAAATTCCTCTCATCACTATCCTTGGAAGAAAACAGTCTGGCAAAGGGTTTGAAGTGACAATTGAAACCCTCTGGGAAAACTTTTTTTTAAGGAATATATGTACATTTCACTTCAAGCTAGTTTCTGTTGGGCCTCTTTTTTCCCCCCGCCTCAGGAGCAGGAAAAGGGAATCGGGTGTCTGTCGCTGACGCGGAAGGAAAACGCAACCCACTGGTTTGAACTTACAGGACACACTCCAGTGACACGAACCCCACAGGGAAAAAAGGGGGGCCCCGAGTTTTCCTGTGTCAGCTCTTTCAAGTTGTGGAATATACTTGGTTTTCAGTTTTTATTTTTTGGAGGGTTGGAAGAAGCTGAAGGAATATTTTATACATTTATTAAAAATTTTGGTCACAAGTTTACCTTCAAGTTTTCACTGGATTATCTAAAAATTGAAACACTGCTCATGACGTTGATGGACTCTTTGAAACAATAGAAAACATCAGTCATAATTTGTTATGCAGATGCTGCATCAAAATCCTTAGTATATAGGGAGGTTTCACCTGTAATAGCTTTCATGCACCATCCAGCTTAAAGTCATATTTTGGGGATTTAATTTTTAAAAATTGGACAAAAGCTGAAGCAGGATTGCATCAGTTCCTGTCTGGTGCCAGTGTCGTTTTCTGGTGACTATATGATGATGATGCAGCTCTGGGTTACATGTGTGTGTTTGTATGTTGTGTGTGTGTGTGTGTGTGTGTGTGTGTGTGTGTGTGTCTGGATGGATGGATGGATGGATGGAGAAGGAGAAGGAGACCAAGAAGAAGCCACACTTCTGGGGTCTGGTTTTGGCTGCTGTTTGCACTTGTTCCCGCCGGGGTCCCATTACACTTGCCGCGCACTGGCTGCTGTTTCTCCTGCAGCCAACACCAGCACTAATCTTCTATTTTTTTTCTTCTAAACTCTCCCTCTCTTTCTCTCTCATCCTTCCCCAAAACTAGCAGGATTGTGCCCTAATAGGGGCTGTTTGCAAAGTTGGGGATTTTTTTTTTATCATCACGGCAGCATTTTCAGAATGAGAACATACTGGTGCATTTCAGCCAGTGTCCTATATGATGTTGCATTCAGAAAGTCATTAATGCATGATAACATCAGATTACTTTGAAATTTTGCTGAAGCAGTGAAGGATTTGAGTTAGTAAATAATCCAGCAGGTGACAGTTTTCATCTGTTGGAAAAATATACTAGAAAATTCATTTCTCTACTTTCAAAGCTTCAAAGGATTCTCTGGTAGATTTAAACTGATTTTTCCAGGTGAACTAAATTCTTATAGTAATTACAGGCAAACCTCTTTGAGTCAACTTCAAGGAAACAGCAACAAATAAAAAGCTGGAAAAACAAGGATTTTTATCAGGGGAAAGGAAACAAATTATGGAAATTATAATTATATTCTGGGCCATGAATTGCTTCTTAAATGAATTAGGATGCTGAACTTGGAGGCAAGGGAGAATTTGCCCAATATGTCCTTCACTTTCTTTCAAAATACAGTTGAACCTCAGTAAATTGAACCTCTTCAAGTCAAATTCCTCTGTATAAGTCTTAAGTTTTTTCAAGTCCCTATCTGAATTCCCTTAGACACAATACATAAGAAGCAACCCTAACTCACAGGCTTTTCCTCTAAGACCTCTGTAAGTCACATTTTCTGAGGCCTTTTGGCTATCATTTTCTTGACACAAAGAGAAAAAAATTGGATTTGATTTGTTTTGAAAGGAGGTGACAGACTGAAAATTAAAAATTGGGCCAATGAACCCCTACCTCAAAGTTCAGCAACCTTTCAACTCCTTTTAGGAGCAAGTTCAATCCCAGAATATCACCATTTACAATTCAGTGCAACTCTTCTAAGTTTCCCAGAACAAAAATCCTCCGTTCCATAACTCAAACATTGAGAACTCAAAACCTCCTTCAGTCAAAACCTTTTCCAGTTGAATTATTTTGCTGGTCCCTTGAAATTTGACAGTTTCAACTGTAGACCAATTAACAATTGTATTGATCGTTTCTTTCTGGTGTCAATAAAAATAGCAAAAGGTTTCAGAAAATTGCAGTTATGGAAGTTTAAAGGGGTAAGCCGTTGAGTTGGGGATATTTTTAATACATTGTTCATATGAGAAATTTGGACAAGGCATTCTTAAAAAAAAATTGACTTGGGGAAATTCCAGTTATTGAAGTTAAGCTGTAAATGCAAAATATGTTAATGAAGTATGTCAGTTTTCACTGTTCAAAAATCACCAGAGATGAAATTGAATTATCCATATTCCAAGAAATTTTGGAAGGATTTATTGGTAATACAGGTAATACCTCTCTAAGTGGGATTTCAAGGGACCACAAAACAAATTCTGACTTAGGCAGATTTTTAATTAAGGAGGTTTTGACTAATTGAAGGCTGATTAACAGAACCAAGCAATTTTGTCATAGAAAACATAGAATTGCACAAAATTGTAGATGGTGATATTCTGGGCATTAAATGCATCTGAAAGGAATTGACAGGATGCTGAACTTGGAGGCAGGGACTAAATTTGTCCAATTTTGTCTTTCCTTTCCTTTCAAAGCACCTGAAATTGTGTTTTCCATTGCTTCTTTCTTCCTGTGTCAATAAAAAAAATAGCCAAAAGGCCTCCAAAAAATTTCAGTTAAGGATGTTTGAGAGGAAAAAGCTTCCAGTTAGGCCCAGCAAACAATTTGTTATGGGTTTGGCTGGGTGTAACAGTTATGCATTACTTAACACATTTGTTATGCATAATTGGAGCTTGAATTGCGTAACATTTTGGGCTAGAAACGCATTTAAAAATGCCTAATTATTTGCTGGGGGGAGGATTTTAATCCATAGTTCCTAGAATAATTCATTGGGGACTTGGAAAATTTGACTTAGAAGGTTCAAGTTATTGAGGTTTAACTTTAATAAAATGTTCTTAAATTTCTTATCCATAGATTGAATTATATTAATCCATCAAAGATTAATCTGTCTTCTGCAAATGCATGTTGCAGTTTCAATTAGATTGTGTAACACTTCATGAAATCTCCTCAGCTGTAGCATGCCAAAAAAAAACCAGGAGAATAAATTTGACACTTTTGTGCAAAAAAAAGGAAAGTATATCTCGCGATCGAAAACTCAGATGCAAAAAGGTTTGTACAACTTTCCGATTTTCCCCAGCGGAGTCAAGTGGTCCATAAGTTTACAACCAAGAAGAGTATTTCGTTCTTCTTATTTTAAATTCTATAATATAGATATACAGTATATATATATATATATTTTTTTTTTTTTTGCTCGTTTCAAGCATAAATCAGAGGCAAAATGTATAGGGGGAAAAACAGTCGCGCAATTCCTGGTTACTGTCTCTCTCCGGCGCCGGCGTAAACAAGCCCCTGAAATTGTCAAGAAGCGTCTGGGAACGGGTTCGGAAGCAAACCTGTCACTTCCTGGACAGAACCCAGAACCTGTCCTCATCATCTCCTCCCCCCCTCAAAGTCTTTTCTTTGTCTCACTCAACGCCCTTAGTTTTTGGCGAAAATAATTATGAAGTGAGCGGGAGAAACAAGTTCAACAGCAGAGACTCACCCTCTCGACTTATGGGAAAAATCGGCTTGTTTTCTTCCCACTATAACCCCTTTATGTTTTCTGTTCATTTCGACTTCAAACCAGAGTAGAATAAATTAATTAATTAGTGAAAGGCTTTCAACACCTCTTCTTTTATTTTATTTTTTTTGGTAGAAGCCAGCAAGTGTCAGTCTGGTAAAATTTTTGTGTTGTCATCACACCCATGGAAAAATAAAAGAAGTTCTGATATTTTTGCAAGAAAACCCATCAGTTATTCCAGGTGGTACAGTTTCTTGAAATTTGACCTCCCACAATTTGACTGTCCTGCAATTCAGCGATTGAATTTGCAGAGAGGTTGACTTGCAATTTGACCCTTGCCGCACAATTTGACCTGCGTTGGCCACTTTTTTGCATTTTTGTACTCATATTTTGTAAATTTCACAGAATGTTTTGCAATTTGACCAATTTGCAATTCAGCCCTAGTTTGGCAATGGCTTAGGGTTTGAGTTGCACGGTGCTGTCTGTAATATACTTTCAGCAATTTGAAAGAAATACAGTACGTTGAATTGGCACATTATTATTTTAGCTGTTTTTAATGTTTCATTATTGCTTGAAAATTTTCAGTGACTTTTTACATTATCTGAGTGGGATGCCCTTTTATTTTTTCTGGTCACTCAGGTTGCAAATTGTTTGGCAAATCTTCTTTGGCAGATAATTTTATTCATGCAAC